GTAAGGCCAGGTTGGCTATACCCATGTCAAAGGCCGTATCAGTCTGGATATCAATTTACTTACTTCTTTCAAGTCCTCTCTCCATATTGCAAAGTTGGTGCGGACCAGACAGGGTAGGGATATCAATAGCTTCACCCAATGAGTCCAATATCTTTGGCAACAACATCGGATTCAAAGCTAGAAATGCCCTTCGGTAATATCCCGCCACTTCTAATTGGCTATCAATTCTCAGGATCCGGGGTTCCATGCTGGAAACACGGATTTCTTCACACTGAAAAGCTCTCTGTAGGCTTAGTATCATAGACTGCAAATGATATATTGAGACCTCGGCACCAAACAGTGGCGATTCTTTGAGCCGGCATGCCATCGTTGACAGAAAGGTTTGGTCGCGAGTCCATATTTCCTTGGATTCATATCCCTCAAGTTCACCAGCCTGTATGCCTTGAAAAACATGACAAATCAATGCGACGCTTGCCCTCACTCCAAACGGCCGGTACGGAGGGTGTTCGGTTTGCAAGGTTTCAGCTAGAAAGCTCGAGTGAGGGGATGCATTTTGCCCGATAAGGAACAATAAATACCTTGTTTGGAGTTCTATGTCTTCCAATGTTACTGTGTGCAGCCCGTCGGACTCAGTCAAAGCTTCGCGGGCACCGATTAGCCATCCTTGAAGATGACCATCCAGCAAAACAAAGCTCTTTTCCCAGTCACGGCCGCGGCGACATATGACCTTCCACAGAGCTCCTACATCCATAGGAAGCATTGAGGAAATGAAAAGATAACTTAGAACCAACAAGAGTTGGTGGACTGTGGGTGGACCGTAAATGCTTTTCCCAGCTATGGTAAAATCAAAATTCGGCGGTGGAGGCAAAGAGGTCTGGTTGACAGTCAGTCGTGGGTCTCAAAGCCTCATAGATTGTGATTATTACCGGAGGGGTCATCTGCACAAACAGCGTTGTCGTTTGAGAGGTTGACAAGCTTCGGCCCCGTTCCATAATATCTTCAGTAGCTGTAGGGCCATTTGTTTGGGAAAGCGACTCCGCCACCGTAGCCGCAACAATCTTTGGTAGTATCTCGTAAGGCGGATTTTGATCTTGCTTGAAACCCTTCTTCTTCAAGTGCTGAATATATTCATCATCTGCACACCTTACGACGTGGTGCATAGCCTGTTCGGTTGGCGGTTCTTGTACTTTCCATGTAGTTTGGTAATCACCAAATTCACCCTCTTGCACTTGCTTTTGCTGATTTGGCCGTAGCTCTTGAGAGAGCAGGTCTTCGGTCTGGCCCTTTCATTGCATAAACACACAATTTACCACGCCTGACACAAGCTTGACAATGGGGAACTTCACGATTGCATCGAATTTTCAAACTGCGGCATGATTGGCAGGAATGAAGAGGCATTGTGGTTGGACTGGTCAATATTGCAAGCTACCACCGTTGCAATCCAACTGTTTAAACAAGACGTGTGATAGCTATAGGACGCGTGGACATAACAATTGGTGATAGACTCTCACTCCAGATGCACTGCAATAGGATATGTCAAACGCTCTTCTCAGCAGGCGCAGAAGCGGAAGGCGTATTGCTGAAAGGCGGTTTCAGTTCAGGGCGAGTGGTACTGCGACGCAGAAGAATCCAGTATGTAGGGGCGATTGTTGTAGCACAACACGTTCAAGGTAACCTGAAGCTATACGGGTAGAAGTCAAAGAGTCCATAGAAGAGGAAAATCAGAACTTATAGTGTCTGTTGGTTTCAAAGACTGTATACAGTAACTCAAGATATGTAGCCAGGTTTGATGATTACAGTCCGCTGATTCCGGATAAGTTCCTAGGAAGGGGTTCCTTCGTCCTAGGAGCAACCGGCATTATTGTGAGGGTCTCACGTATACATAGAGGTGGAAAGTGTTCCAAGATGATCAATCAATATTAAGAACAACTATAGTTGACTCTAGATACAAGACGTAGCGCGAGGAAGCAAAAGAAAGGTAGCTTCCTCGCGTTCAGGGGAACCCATGTACACCATGTGGGTCCCGTGCGGATCATATCTCCATCCGTTCCGCATGCTTCATCTATATCCCTGACAATTATCTAGATGATCGAGCTCTGACAGGAGGAGTTCCTTGGATATTAGGAATTATGAACAGTGCCCTGGGAGCCGCATTGCCTATCCTGGGCTCGGTTTTCTGCTGGAAAGTAAAGTTAGAGGTCCAAAAGCCTTTTGGTAGGATTGAAAATCATTAAGCAAACTTCAAGCCATTTCTGCACACTTCTTGCACTTACTAGTTCCCCGCTGTTTCCCTTATCATATTCGCTATACCACCTAGACCAAATTCCCGGAAGCCATTCGCCGAGGAAAGAGACCCCCTTTCAACATACGTCAGTAGTACATGATAACCTCAAGAATGTCATAGACGTTTTCCTTAGATCAACATGCATACATCGCCTTTGATTTAGGGGATTGATACTACCACCCCTTTTGGATGCTAACGTAATTCACATGCGAGTGGGCCACCCAAGCGAGTGGGCCAACTAGCCACTACCCATTAAATTTAAATGCAATTATCTTAACCAAAACGCCATTAAATTCAATAAGCTAAAAACGAGGTCTATCTGGACATGCATTTCTTTTATGACCCTCGTTTCCACATGCTCCACACTTCGGTGAGGCCCTCGTACGTGGCTGTAAAGGTGCCGGAGCCGGTCTTGCCTCACGGGAGACCTGTGCTAAAACTGTATGCTCCGGCTGCGCTATTAATGAAGAGGCCTCTAAAACTGAGAGACCTTCTTCGGAAGTCATCTGCCTTGTAGATCTAGACCTTTCCCGCTTCTTCGTCTCGTTTGCAGCGCGTAATTCGCTTACTTGTTTCTCGAGCAAAGCTGCCGATTGCATTGTGATTTGGCACGCTTTTAGAACCTGATCTATCGCGGAATTAAGCGGGCTCGGTGGGCTTTTTGAACGCTGTTTTAGCAAAGCTTTAATTGAGGAAGCTTGCTTTTGTAATTGTACGTAGTACGAAGGCGTTTTTGGATCCCACTCGCTCCCCCGGCTCGAAGGGGGTGTCGGGGTTCGAAGGCAAATATCGAGCTTCGAGATTACTCGATCGGGGTTATAAGGCATTAAACCGGCGGCGGCGAAGTTATTCTTAATAGTCTCCGATTTAAATACCTCAATTCGTGCGGACGGGTAGGCCTCGAGGAAATCAAGTTTATCTATAACGTGGTCTGCAAGCGAGTGGGCCATGTAAGCGAGTGGGCCACCCCACCACTTTTTCTACACTTTTATACGTATATATCAACCACAACGCTATTATATTGATTAATCTCTTCTAGGACAGGCATTCTTCTTATGCCCTATCTCGCTGCAATTACCACATTTAGGTAGGCGCCGCGTAACCGGTGCTTGCGTAGCCTGCGCTGGCGCTACCCTCGGTCCTGTTCTTGGCTGAAAGAACTGATTGTGAGCTTCCTCTAGCTCTAATGCTTCTCGTACTGATAGACCGTCATCGTGGGCTATCCATCTATTCACACGAGCGCGCTTTTGCCTTTGTGTGGCGTTAGCGGCACGTAGCTGCTTGTTTTCTTCCTCGAGAAGTATACCGTTCTGCATTGCGATTTGACAGCCTTTGATAAGCTGGTTTAACGCGGCCTGTGAAGGCGAGGGTGGGCTATTTGAGCGTCGCTTAAGAAACTCTTTGATTGAGGATGCTTGCTTTAGAAGCTCGTTGACGTTCGCGGGTGTATGTGGGTAAAAAGCGCTTGCGTCACTACCACGGCTCACGGGTGGCGTCGGCGTCCGAAGTTGAATATTGAGCTTTGATAGCACTTGTTGAGGATCAAATGGTACTAATCCTGCTGCCTGAAAGCTATTCTTGATAGTGTCTGTTTTAAATGCGTTGACACGAGCTTGTGGATATGCTGCGAGGAAGTCAAGCTTATCGATATGGTTGATCCCGAGCCGTACTTTGTCGCCGACTAGGGTACCGTACGAGCGCTTTAAAACCGCAAAACACCCGAAATCAAGAGGCTGTAAAAGATGCGAGGTATGCGCTGGCATACAAATTGGTATAATATTGTGATCCGCGCAAAGTTGATCGAATTCTGGCGTAAGATGGCTTCCGTGTCCGTCGAGGACTAAGAGTCGATATCTTCCATGCGTACGACTATTTGTCGACGGAATAATTTGCCTTTGAAGCCAGCGAAGGCCTATCTTGTCGAACGTCCACCCGCTAAAGTAGTTCCTCTTCAATTTGTGTCATTTTATGACCATTTGCGCGAGATTCAGCGCGGTTTGTAGTTCCGCGTAGTCGACGCGTGAGCGTATTGCGGGGGACCTGGAATTGGTCTGTGGCCCGCCTAATTGTGCTTATTTCTTTGTTCTTAATAGCCTGGATGGCTAATAAGATCCTACCCTCTTGCTCTATACGATTTCGAGAGCTTTGAGAGCGAATTGGAGGCATGGTGGTTGATAGAAGATAGATAGATAGACCGGGATGCGAAAAAGTGGTTGGGTGGCCCACTCGCTTACATGGCCCACTCGCTTACATGGCCCACTCGCTTGCAGATCACGTTAGCATCCAAGGGGGTTGGTAGTATCAATCCACTAACTTTAACGCGTCAACTATGTTGACTTTGGATGTATTAACTAAACCAAATATATCAGTACAGAATACGGCGGAAACAGGTGCATGGGACTGATGCTGGGGGTCTTTAAAGTCAAATCCCGGATCAAACCCGCGTTTTGGTGAGGCCTGACGAGGCCGAGGCCTAGACAGAGGTTTTGGCTTCCAGCCACAGTTCTCACTGACCGTAACCATTGAACCTTCAAAACAGCTACGAGACTTGCTGCTTTTTGTTGGTTCTTGGCAGAGTTTCCTCGTAAAATATACGATTCTGCTCCTCTTTTCTCTTTCAAGCAAGGTGACTTCGACCTTTTCGACTTGATACAATACCTTCGTTCATTGCAGACCAGAGATAATAGCGCATTGGCGAACACAGCTCATATTAATGATGTTCCCTTCCTTGGTTATTCTCTTCTGGGTTTTAGGAGGCGTTACTACTGTGGTGGTCGCCTTGCGCATCTTCGCCAAGGCGAGGATCGGTCGTTTAAAGGCGGATGACGCCACCATGATGATTGCCTGGGTAGGTCGCCCATCGTTTATAGGGCATGTTTAGCTTCCAATCCGTGTGGCTCACATTCGTCCTGTTTCTTTCGCCTCCAGGTTCTAGCCATCGTTGCATCTACCCTTTTTACCATTGCCGTGCATTATGGCTACGGGCAGGATATTTGGGAACTTGACTTCGACTCTGTCGTCCACGTATTCAAATTCTATACCATCACTCAGGCATGTGTCATTGGCAGCAGCACTGCCGGCTGTGTGGCCTTTATTCTCTATCTTCAGGCCATCCTAGGTGGGGAGATGAAACATAGAATTATTTTATTTACGCTCGCAATCTTGGAGGTGACATTTAACGCCGTATCCATTATCCTGATATTCACCGGTTGCAAAGATCTGCAGTCGACCTGGAACAAAGGCCTCCCTCGTGGATGTCTTACAGTACCCGTCAAATACGCTACGCTTACTTTCAAACCGGTACGCCCACTTCTGCTTGCTTCTTGCTTCTGCGAACCAAGGTCCCCAACTTACACGTTATACCTTACTGACTGCTCTTCATTGATAGCTTTCAACACTGCAGTTGATCTATACCTTGTCATAGTGCCGACATGCATCTTCTGGGGTCTCAATCTTCGGCTCGGGGTAAGAATTAGTCTCATTGTATTGATGAGCCTTGGACTTTTGTAGGTGTCAACGTCATATTTCCTATGGCTCTGTTTGTCCTTCTAAAATAAATGCTTGTACTAATTGGCTTTAGTGCAATGGCGGCTTCTTTGGCCAAAACCGTCTCGCTTAAGGACATTACCAGCCCTAATTTTACGGGGGCGACTTCCAACCTCGTACGCTGGGGTCTCGTTGAAAGCTATATAGTGATTATCACTGCCTCACTACCATGTATCCGATCACTTGTCGTCTCGTCTATTCACCACATGACTAGCAGGCAGCAGCACACCAATTTGGACTTTGTATGCTTTAATGGCGCTTCCAGCGCACAAGGGGATCGAAGCTCTATGAGCGAACCGTCTAGGCAGAGCCATTGTTAAGCATCTCCTATATATGAACCACGGAGGTAATACAGGAAAGCGACATAAAGGTTATCATATAACGTCGGATGTTGATATATACCCCATTTGAGGTCTAATATCCGCGGAGTTCAACAATATCCACAGCGAACAGACTTTTTCAAAAACGAAAGGAGTCCCGCTGCCTGCGAATCTTAATATATTTGGTGCACATATTTGCTATGCTATCCTTATCCTGTTTTTGGCCAACGAATGACAGCGTATTTCTGCTAAATCGACTAAGCACAACGAAAAGAGGTTACCTCGTATTGAACTTGATCAGCTCGGGTTTGGACCAGGGCCGCAACCCTAGTCTTTATAATTTATTCTATCGGCTTTTGGGGGCTACAAGGTCTTTTAAGTATGCAATTGTCTACCGGATTTGCAATGGGAACCATGGTAACAATTCCCAGGAGCAACGTAAGAGTATCCTTGAAGGGCACAGTATGTGTTTGTTCGTGTTAAATCATCTATTCTAACCATTGCTACACTGGCACAAATGGAGACGGATGAGATATTTTGGCCCGCACGGGGCACCTGCGGTCTGAACACTGGCGATGTAGGCCTCGTTGACGGAGGGCTACAGCGCCGTGAGGGCTGCAGGCGGGCCCGTGGCACTCCGTATATTCTAGGAGGAAAAATAGCTATGCGAGAGCATACGTGGTATATACATGAGGGGGTTCCGCGGTGGGCGGGAAGAAACCGTCGCGGAGAGAGCCCGGCTCTCCCTCGAAACGGCGATGTTCTTTTCGAGGGAGGGGAAGGCCAGGCGATATTTGTGTGCGATGTCCAGCACGGGATATCGTGGGCCCGACGCAAGGGGCTCTCACGCAACAGTCCCGAATAGAACCTATCATTTACCCCGACCCTCGCGGAGTTCATAAACTTGCTCGTGAAAAACAAAAAATCTTTCGGAAAGTAAGCTATAGTATATGTCGGGACATATCCTCCCGTCAGAATAAGCAAAGACACTGTACGTACATAATCTTGCTAAGCTGCGGCTCCCGCCGTATGGGTTCAGGGGCATTGGACCACGACCTGGAATACGCATCTATTTCACATGAATCAAATTGACTTTTGCTTTGGAAGCATAACCACTGTCCACTTAACTGTGTACACAGTACCTACCTGGTGATACCAACAGATGCCTTGCATGCTGAGTGGAGTAAAGAGTTCGGGTTTGATGGCGCACTCCAGCCGTAATTACACCAATCCCCAGCAAGGGTCATGCGAAGAATCGACAATAACGCGAGCACATGATGACAAGGAATGAAAAACTAAGAAACACTTTGTCCTATTTGAGAACTTTTATCGAGAGGAGGCCTTCATATAAATAACTGCAATAGATGTAAAATAACGTTGTTGCCTGGAATCTACTGTGACGGTTCATAAGTTTTAACAACACCCATGGACCCACATACTTACCGCCTTCTTAATAATACTACACCGCCTAGTGTAAACACGCTAGCAAGTCTCACGTATGTCGCGTTTTAGCCGATTTCTTCGCGTTTTTTGACTTATTACCCCTATTCATTAAGCCTGTTCTCTACTATAAGCGTTCAAAAACATGCCTTCACGCTCAGAACTCACACCAGCCCTCCGTGAAAGGATATGTGAGCTTCATTCAGCTGCTCAATGGGGTTATAGGCGTATTCATAAGAGATACGCTTGGATTTCTCTCTCGACTATACGCTATACTATTAAAAAAGAGCATGAAAGACGTGCCGGTGTCTCGAAGCCGCGTTCTGGCCGACCGAAGAAGCTAGATGAGGCTGAAAAAGTACGTCTTTTAGACGCTGTTCACGAAAACCCTCGAGTTACCCGTGAAGACCTTCTTGCTGAGGTTTCTTATAAAGTTAAAACCTCCTCTATCCGACGACTCTTAAATGCCGAGAACCTCCGGAAATGGCGATGTAGTTGGCGACCTTATTTGACCGAGGAATATGCCTTTAAACGGCGTCAATGGGCTTTTCGCTATCAACACTTTACTCCTGAAGATTGGGCTCGCGTCTTTTGGTCCGATGAATGTACGGTAGAGCGTGGAATTGGTGTCCGTCAAGAATGGACATTTACTTGGCCAAAAGACCCGCCAAAACTCGGACAAGTTCAAGGCCTTCCACAACGGGGAAAGCAGGTTAAGCAGATGTTTTGGGCTGCTTTCTCGGGCGCTACCCGTCGAACTGGTTTAGTTCCGCTATTCGGGGATCCAGAATCAGAGCGTGGAGGTGTGAATAGCATCGTTATCCGGGATCTATACCTCCGAATCCTACCTACCTTAATATCGTACGAAGGGTCGATTTTTCAGCATGATAATGCGCCAACGCATACTGCCCACATCGTCCGAGAAGCTCTACGGGACTTAGAGCTCGAGGTAATGGAATGGCCGCCACATTCGCCTGATTTAAATCCAATTGAGAACCTCTGGGCGTTGTTAAAGGCCGAGATCTATAAGCTTCGGCCTGATCTTATTGACATGAGGAATAATGAGGAGACAAAGGCTATTTTAATAGATACAGCACAGATTGCATGGGACCGATTGAACCTTGAGCACCTAAAGCATCTCTCTGAGACTATGCCGCATCGGGTGCAAGCCATTATTGATAGCCAGGGATGGCATACACAGTACTAGTTAAAATGGGCATGAGGTTTTAAAACCGGCAGAAAATTATGTAATTAGTAGTGGGTCCATGGGTGTTGTTAAAACTTATGAACCGTCACAGTAAACAGTATTGACTTCCTGGTATTCCGGATTACGCCTCCGAAAGGCGTGCTCTCTGAAACGTCCTGGAAAATGGCGTCGTGTAACAGCTAATCAAAATTGACAATCATGTGTCCCGCGATGATTGTCGTATTGCCCTGGATCCTGGGGATCAATATCATTGGAGCAAATCTCAAGGTAAGTATCCTGATTTGGCATGATGATTGTCGTCTTGTGTGGCTGAAACCGAAGACCTTAACAGACTTCTATCACATTTACTGCTTTGAAGAACTCTTGGACCTAACTTAGCGCTTGAAGTTGCGATTAAGATGAACTAATTCTCGAGGCAATCGGACCTCTAATTGGCGAGATATTTCAAGCAAACCTTTTTGCCAAGAAAGAGTTGTTCCAACCTTGGACCTCCTCATTTGGAGGGACTTTTGCCCTCTAAAATCCGGCTTCACATACAACACTACAACTTAAATTATGCTTACCAACGCCGGTAGTCGTTTCCTTGTAATATTACAGGAACCTGCTTAAGAGGGCATTCTATTTACAAACAGGAGCTGGCTTAAAGGGGTCGGGGCAGGGATTACTCTGTATAGTCTTTATAATAAATGTTAAATTGATTGACGCTTAATATTGGAATAGAGTCCCGCCCCAAATCTCTAGTCTCATTCGACGGAAGTCACATATCTGGAGTGCCGAGAAACACCACCTTTATGTTAATAGATATTTAAATTGGTTGACTCTTAATAACCCGGCATTTGATATGAGCGTTTCCCCTGTCTATTATAGGTCTATACCAAGCGAAATTGGTATATGGGGTTTAAATTTACGTTATTTGGGGATCAAAGCCTCCAGTGTCCACCAGTGAATTTGAGTGAGAAGTATTTCCAATTTGGCATATAATATATAGAGCGACAGTGTAAAGTACAGAGATCATTAGACATTTTACTCCCGTTGGTCATTTCGCCGGGAAGGTTGGGGCGTCAAAAGACCGCTATGAGCTGGTTAAGTCGCTGGGACTAGTGAGAGTACAAATTCAACTTTAGCTTTGAGGTGTATAAACAGCACGGGACCTTGCTTAAGCGAAGTTGCACGTACCCACATACGCACGTAAGCATACAATCAGTTGAAATCATTGTCCAACCAATTGGCATCTGACTAGTTTCACACTCGGATGGGTGGATGGATGATTTCATTTACCCTCACCACTCGCGAGTTAGTTTACCCAACTAGACCGAAATACGAATCCGTACCCGAATGCAGTGGGCTGTGGCTTATAACCCAGCTTTTATTGCGAGGAGTCAGGGTAAATGACACACACACACACATATTGTGAGTACGAGTTACTGGAGGCGATGAATGATAACCTATCTTTACCTCTTATGTGTAAATTTCCCTCGGTGCACTTTCTACGTTGTTTCTTTTAAACGTTAGGACCGATTTACGATAAAGTTATGCTTTCAGTACTCTTGATTTGTGATTATATAGTAATAAGAATGTCCTCAGTCTGTTTACATGCTTTCGTTTTGGAGGGATTGGTACATGGTATGTTAACACATGAAATCATGGTAAGTATTGAAAGTATTTGGAGTAGATAGGCCTGACTAAATTGAAAGTCCCCCGGAAAGGGGTCTGTGTACAGTACTCGATTTGCAACCCAGGTTATATTCCGGAGAGAACCTAGCTTCAAAGCGCGGAGAATCACGGGCTCCATTATGATGAACTTCTGGAGAACTGATTGAAAAACGCTCTGTCCACCGAGAGCTGCTCCACCGAATACTCCGACATTTGCTCGCCCAGCAGAGGAAACTGCAATAGACTTATTGCATCCAATGATCAACCAGGGACAAATAGCTATGAATTCCTTGCAGAGCAGTAACGGTATCATGCATGTAATACGAAGAAGCGACTGACCCGCTTGTTGAACTTGCCAGTTGCAAGGTTTCGGTCAATTCGCTCTGAATGCCGCCAGTCAACACATTGAGTTGCGTCGGCGCAATTGATGCCGGAAAATCGTCTCTATATAACGTGGAACTTGCGGGGATGAGCCTTATGCGCGCCCTTAGCCATAAAATGTCTGGGAAAATGCCAGCAAGCAAACGATGGGTAAAGGGAGCTACAAAGTGCCCTCTTTCATCAATTTCAGCCAATAGTCTAGTACAGCGTAGATGTGAGAAAGAAGATGAGTCAGAGTTTCGTGCTTGGCGAAAGGACGCAATGAAAATGGTGGCTGATTTAGCGGCTAAGGAATTGGAAAAAACGCTTGAAAAATGGGGATGATAATATATTATTGGCTAGTGAAGCTACTGATGGGCTTTATTTTATGGATCCTGGACCTTATACGTCTAAAAAATGAGCCAGATGTTGAAGAAATTGAAACTTAGCATTATGGCGGTTAATTGCTCTTTGGCTGTGGGATACCCCCTACCAGAGAAGGCTGGGGGCGTCCTGTGACACCTACGACTTCCTTAGACCAAGGTCTTTCCATCATCAATGGAGAAGCGAACTCCCACACAAGGAGGGGAAGCGAGGACGCGTATAAACCCAGCACGCACTGATTATTTCTAATTATCTCCTGTGGAATCAAGTCTAATTATTTCCATTGACAGGAACCTTGGTGGCCACACGCGCCGAGAGAGCTGAAATGTCTTTCCTTAACTCTTCCACCCCCACCTTCTTTCCAAATCTCTAAGAAACGAGTCTTAGCGTTCCCCTCCTGCTTTTATTGTTGTTCGTCGGTGTGGTATGGGTGTGGTATGGGCATGTTTACCCACACTCGCGGAACGCGGAGTCACTAGTTACAAATCTTGGTCCACACGCCAATAAATTGTAATCGTCTGGGCGTCATCAGGAAGCGGGATCATAGCGAACTGTCCTGTCGAGCCCGAGTTTATGTCACTGGTGGATGCCTGCCCCAGCGTATTGTAACGGGTAACTATATTTCCATTGTGGTAGACATTAAAAATGACCGTTGAATAGGTTGCTGTGGGTTCCACGTGGATATGGATGACTCTCTGGTCGGCATTCGCATGCAAGGTTGCGCCGAAGACGTTTATTTCGGCCCCTGATTGGGTTCGTGTGGTTGGGTTCTGAACATCGCCGACGGCGGCTGTACTGAAGCTCCAGTGGAAATCGAAGCTCGATGGACGACCAAAGGTCTCACGCCATGGAGTCGTGATTGGGTTGATGTTGATTGGGTCCGGGGACAACTGGGGGGCAGCCAGGGTGACAAGCGGTTGTAGACATATTAACAGATACGTCAGAAAAACAGGGAAGAACTATGCTGGTCAGTCTAGGTGAACAAAACGACGGCAAATATACATACCATGATTTGTTATGAGAACAATACTAGTTTAGTCTGGATAAACAAAGTATTTGGATGTAGTTGAGAATGGTTCGAACAGATATAATAAATAATAGGGCCTGCCTGAACGATTTTATATAATAATGAAAACTAGTGTCGGGACATACTACGGAGGTTAATAGGGATCACGAGTGCAAGAATGACAAATGGTGGCTTTTGTCGGGCAGAATTCCCGCTTGGCCGACTTAAGAGGTAGTGAGAATAGTTATGCTGGTACCAGTCTAGCCTTATTAAACCTAGCGTAATACGAAGTAACGTCGTCTATGCCCAATTAGGCTTTAGTCTATCCAGCGCTCACAAATAGACCTAACGTCGGCCAACTCGTCTTCCTACCCTTCCCTGCCTATAAGGCACTAAAACAAGCTGAATTCTTCCAAATAACATGTTTTCGCTAAACAAGCACCTGTCTCCTCTTTCTGACTAGTCAAGACACGCAAATTGAAGTTGATTGAGTCTCAAAATCGAAAAATAACGCGAAATGACATATACTCTCCAAGTCCTTCCACTCCGCCATCTCTGTCTTATGCTAATTACCCCCTGCTTGCCCTCCAGATCTCCGAAACAGGCCCTGACTCAGTCATTCTCTCCATATCCGACTCTCGCAGCTGGTATCTCCGCCGGGTACGTGGTGGAGAGATCCCTGGCGGCACACGAGCTCGCTTTCGCCGCTGCGGCAGCGGTGCCGGTGGTGCTGGTGGCGGAGTGGCCTCCACAGCTCTCTGCGGTGATAATGACCTGATAATTGCTCCTAGTGATGGGAGAGATGATGGGATAGATGCCTCTGACGGCGGAGGAGATGGCGCTGGAGCTCCTGCTGCCACAGGAGCTTCAGCTTCAAGCTTTATCGTCACCGGTTCCGGTCTTTTCCTCTTGATAATCAGGAAGACCTCATAACTATCCTTGATCTTGGTAAATTTCGTACAGAAGTCTGTGAGGAAGCTGTTCATGATCTTCCCGCATGCCTAGGAACCAAGGCTCCTTTTTATTTTTAACTGCAGTTGCAAATCGAAATGTATCTCCCTCCTCACGTGTGTAATCCTCAGGGTCGAGCTCTACTAGAAGCTCGTTTTCGATGAAATCGACGAAGCTACTAATAGTACCCGGCGTAAGGATTGGAGTAACTGTAGCTACTCATAACGAGACAAGTTAGTATATCTCTCTTAGCTGCGGGATCTCTCCATACTTAGCTTTTCAAGCCTATCTGGCTTTCCCGATGCTAAGCACCAATAGAGATAGCAGTGGACGATTAATGAGACTGTCGCTGGCGCTGTAGGGACTTGAAGTCGCCCTCGGCCGAGGCGGCCACCTCCGGAGCTTCTCCCACCAATAAATTGGCGCTGAATCGATCGCTGTTGGATCTGGCGCTGCCGGATCTCATTTGTCGTCCCCGATAAGGCCTGGAAGCGTGGTTCAGGGGTAATTAGGCTTCTCTCGTAAAGGGTCGCCCTAGCCGAAGAGGATAAATTCTGTATAGGAGTTCTCGTGCTATACGTAGGGGAAGTAATCTGGGCAGTGGAGACAGGAGGATAAGTAAAAACATCTTCCCCAGTATCGTGGGACTGAGTATCGCGGTAGTGCGCCATAAAAACACAAATAGGATGTTTTTCGAGGAAGAATATCAGGTACAAAAATAATGTGAACATAGGAGGGAGCCGAGTCAGCTTGGAACAGAACGAAATCCCCTAGTAAAATTAGTACTCAGTTAAAACTTTATGACGAACTGAGGCATGGATATCTTACCACAACGAATCCACGGATAGGCTTATTTAGCGTCGGCGCCTTCCCCTATTAGTTTCGTATGGTAATCCGGATAGAGCCGGAAGTATAGCGCCGTGATAACCTCGTGTTTTGGCGTTGAGACATATATACGTAAGAAAGTTTATATATCGAATTACCTCCGTCGATCCCCTTCTTCCTAGATACTAATTGGCTATCCTAAAATCCTAAGAGCGCTATGGTACTCGCTGATCGGCCTGTGTTTGGATATTGGGCCGAGATGCTGTATAGCGGCGCTGAAAATTAGCTTTCCTGTGCCTCTCCAGGCTCCCAATCCCACGCGCCGAGGGGTTTTGTAGTGAGGCGGAGCACTGGATACTCATCCAATTGGTCATGGAGAAGGGCACGGCGGCGGAGTTCGAGATATTCTGCACGGTAAGGATGACTAACTTCCACTGGCGCACGAGACGGGGGTCCTCAGGATTGAAGTCATTCCCAGGCCCATAAAGCTCGGCTCCAATCTCCTGAAGCTGCTGGTGGCACCAAGCCAGGACGTCAAGGGGTAAATATTCATCTTTATCCCAGTCCCGGACGTCCTCCTGTAGCTCGCGAAGCAGCATAGGATCAACTGCACGCTGGTAATCGGGCTTAGATGCATTAAAATAATTCATAAAGGGCTTCCCGGTAACAGCGTTCGGCCGTGACTTTTGCTTTCGGATATTATGAATATTCCAGGTCTTAGCGTACTCGCTAATAACCCGGCGGAGTGTAGGCATATAGACCGCAAGAAGGGCGACTTGCTCAGGGATAGAGCCGGAGAAGAGACCTATAGAGGATTAGCGGCAGCAGCGGATAGTGGGCAGGATAACTTACCTTGTTCCTGGAGCTCCCGGAAATACTGGTAATAGAGGAAAGTACATGACTTAGATAACTGCGCCCACCAAGCCTCTATTCTCTGGTTATCTGTGCTTCGTCCTAGCCAGAAACAGTCTCCATGGGCAGCCTCTGGATCGAAAACCTGCCGCAGCGCCCATTGTGCATCCCCAATTAGGGATGTCTCCGAGCCGAGGTCAGACCGAATAATCTCCGGTTGGTAGCAGAGGTCGGCGATGGTGTCAAGAAACTGAGAGAGAACGCTCACTGCTGTACGAGAACTAATTCCCACGTATATCCAGAGAATATACCGAGAGTACCCATCAATAGCGGCATAAACCTCAACTCCGAACTGCGCTAGCTTCATATAACCATCCACATGCCACACGAAATTCGGCCCAGGGCACCAATACTCGCCGCGGGAGCGCTGGAGATCGTATGATCGGCGGAGGAGTGAGTCAGGGCGAAGGGAGCGGTAGACTTCGAATACTCGGTGCTGTGGGAAAAGAAAACCATGACGGCGAAGGTGGTGATAGAGAACGCGACGCCCATAACCTTCGGCATCGCCAATCCCAAGCTCCTCGGTCAAGATAACCTCGATTTCGAGCCGCTGCTGCTGCCTCTGAAGCGGGCAGTCTGTACGAAGCTGAATTCCAAGCTGTTTTCGTAACCTTTTAAGTGTAGGTTCAGAGACCTGGAATCCCTCCTTTTGTAGCACTTCGAGTGTCTCTTTAGGAGATAAACCGGCTTCGGTAACTAGCGTGAGAAGGCGAGCGTGCAAAGCTTCATTTTGGCTGGGTAGTTCGCGTCGCAGGCCCCAGGAAGAAAGGCGAGTTTTGAGCGTGCGAAGTGAGATATTGACGCCGTAGCTTTGTATGATGGTCTGGATATTGGCAATAGGTGTATTCTGAGAATATAAGAGAGTAATCTCCTCCCTATAAGACTCTAGGTTAATTGGAGGGCGTGGCATGGTAAAAATAGAGGTTATTCATACGAGCCCAAAATAGTAGGAATTATACTGTGTTAAAATCAATAGAAAGGATTGCCGGCTACCTGGTCATACGGTCTTATATACACACTACACTAGCGTAACTACTGAGTCGGAGATTTAGTAACGTAATCTACGGGCGAGTGAAACACCGCAAAATACCATATTGAATGCCATATTTTGATTCCTCTATATCTCAACCACTAGCGGTTTATTCTTGTTAAAATTTGAAACAACAGTTTTCCAAGCAAGAGCAATAATATATCTAGATTTTGAGCTAGTCAGACCATTATTTCGACACTTTACCATAAAATACAGCGTAGTTTTGATATTGAGACATCAATATATATATATCTCCTATTTCTTAAACTTTCTATGCTGCACCACTAGGTCACAAATGCTATTTAGGTTATACGAGCTTTATATGCTATCCGAAAGAGCTATATTTTTGGAGATATGAAGTTGTTATTTATCGCATTTAGTATGGAGTTTTGGGGTATTTCACACGCCCGTGTGTTTCACTCGCCCGTGGATTACGTTATTCCGACCTAGAACTACAGTGACTGGACATAAGTTTCTACACCCCGGCCAGCTCACCGTCTCTATTGATTTATACCGCCTACCTAAAGCGCGTAGTATAGAACCATGCTAAAAATAGTAAGCGACGCAAACCTAGGATGGGAGCATTTCCTTGAGACGATTCCGCAGCGGATGGAAGCTATTATTGGGAGCCAGAGGCGGTATACACCGTATTAGATTCCATAGTATGAATTCATGGAGGTTTTTGACTGGCAGTATATTATATAATCAGGGGATGGGGCCAGACAGTGTAGAAACTTATGTCCAGTCACTGTAAGTCTGTTCCTCGCCATAGTGGCTAACCTAATTAAGGTAGGGCGAACAGGATATAAAATACGGGCGGAAAAGGAGGCGGTATACAGATTGCCCAATTATATTGGATTCTGGGTTATTGCACTCGTGATCCCTATTAACCTCCGTAGACATACAGTGGTGTAACATTAGTATTTGACCTCGAGTACTTCGGGCCAGGACCCACTTTTTTAATACTGCCAGCAGAAACCTCCAAAATTGAATTCAATTTAATAGCTAGTATGCCACCCATTATACTTAATGACATCAGCTACCCTGTGAGGCATTGTCTCCCATAGATGCTTAAATAGATCAATATCTAAACTTTCCCATGCTTCCTGCGCAGCTTCTAGTAGCAATTCTAGCGTAGATACGTTATTAGGAAGCTGCATAAGCTCAGGATGACGCTTAAGAATTTCGGCTTTGAGTAGCGCCCAGAGGTTCTCAATTGGGTTTAAATCAGGCGAGTAAGGTGGCCATTCCATGATATCGCATTGAAGCTCACTTAAAGCATCCC